CTTGACTGCCAAGTGGTCTTCCCAGTCATTAGTAAGACTTTTGTAAAACTCTCCATATTCCTCCTGGGTAATATCATCAGGGTTTCTGGTCCAAATGGGCTTGGTCTTGTTCAGTTCTTCCTGGTCTATGTATTTCTCCTTAATCTTCTTTGTTTTCTTTTTCTTGTCCTTCCCACTATCATCCTCCTCATCTGAGCCCACATCTTCAATCTTGGGCTTCTCCTCATCATCTTTCTCTTCTTCTTCTTTCTCCCCTTTCTCCTCCTCTGCCTCATCATCACTGATTTCTTTCTCTCGTTCCTTCTCCAACTGAGAACACAAAAAAACAATAGTTTCAGAATACATAACACCAAAAAACTGGGGACCATCCCATTCTCCTGAGCAGCAGACATCATACATGTCAGGATTACCAGTCCACACTCACATAAAGGGTGATGGGATAACCTATGAACTGCGAATGCTTCTTCACCACTTCTTTGACACGTCTCTCCTCTAAATACTCTGTCTGGTCTTCTTTAAGATGGAGAATCACTTTAGTACCCCGGCCAATGGGCTCACCTAGGAAAAAGTCAATCACAATACAGCATAAGGACACAAAACTAAACACAGAACTGTAATGAAAAATAATTACTTGATAAAGAATATGCTTAAGATCTCTATTACAAATTTCCCCAGAATTCTATCCCAGACAACCTAACAAGAAAGTCAACTTACCATGGTCTGCACGTACAGTGAAGGAGCCCCCAGCAGAGGACTCCCAGGCATACTGCTCATCATCATTGTGCTTTGTGATAACCACCACCTTCTCTGCCACCAGGTAGGCAGAATAAAAGCCAACGCCAAACTGTCCAATCATGGAGATGTCTGCACCAGCCTGCCAGGAAGTTTTAAAGTCAAACACAAGTTTAAAAAAACACCACAGCAAACCCAAGAATATCCACAAAAATGAATGGTGCATGTCTAGCTGAAATACCACATACCTGAAGAGCCTCCATGAATGCTTTAGTTCCGGACTTGGCAATGGTTCCCAAATTATTTATGAGATCGGCTTTGGTCATGCCAATGCCTGTGTCCACTAGAGTCAGGGTGCATTCCTGGGGGTTGGGGATGATGTCAATTTTCAGCTCTTTACCGCTGTCCAACTTGGAAGGGTCTGTCAGGCTCTCATAGCGAATCTTGTCCAAAGCCTAAAAATACAGATTTCGATTTTACCTTTGTGCTTCCTAAAGCTCATCTCTTCATCCAAAAGAAAACTTTGTTTTTCACTTCCAAGTAGCCTCAAGTTCTGATTACCACCCCAACTGGAGATTTAAGAACCACATAATTACAGTTACAATATCCCATCTATCCCCATAGAGTAAAGCAAACTTTTTTAAGAACAGCAGCAGTTTCATCCCCTCCAACAGCAGCCCCACAAAATGCCAAACCACCCTTCTCCCTTTTCCTGAGTGCTGAAAACAAATACCACAAATGAAGGTGCCCAAAGCACTCACATCAGAAGCATTACTGATTAACTCCCGAAGGAAAATTTCCTTGTTAGAATAGAAAGTATTGATGATGAGGGACATGAGTTGGGCAATTTCTGCCTGGAAGGCAAAAGTCTCCACCTCCTCCTCTCCATGGTGCACTTCCTCAGGCATCTAAATTAAGAACAGTCAAGAATTACAAAAGAACACCAACGGCCCCATATTTAACACTGGTTCACCCCATCTCAATGAAGACTCAAAGAGATTTAGTTCAAACTGCTTTAAGCTGGGTACTAAACATATTCCTGAAAAACTGTAAAACCTCTTCTTCAAATATTTCAGCCTGTACCCTTAGTAGGAACCCAACTTAGAAAGAAAAACTTAAAAAGCTTCTTTAACACAATATGCAATGTCAAATGTTTTGGAAAGGTATCTTGGAGCCTAACTACTCTAAGTGGTCCATGGGACCCAACAGCCTCAGCATCACTGGGTAGCTTGTTGCAAATGCAGATCCTGGCTCCAACACGAAAAGGGTTCCAGGCATTTGGGAGAAAACCACTGACTACAGTTCTATTACCTCTTTTGGTAGGAAAAATAGCCCAAGGTGACCGATGTCATGTTTAAAGAGAAATAATTCGGAATTGTCTCTCCCACTGGGTTATCTCCCACACCAAGCACATGTGGGATTGCTGCCTTGGGACATAGGAGAAGGTTACCTCTGAGACCAGGGGATACCCGCCCAAGAAAGTACTAAGACAAAGAACCGATAAAGCCAAAGCTCCATCGTGACCCCCCTCAACATACACGACTACAATAGAGTACCAAACCAAACACAACTAAAATGGTGGCCGTAACCCGCTGGGCAGACCCTCGTCACTGCCGGACATGCGTCGGCCAGGGCCACGCGAGGAGGGGGCGCCACCGCGCAGCCTCCCTTCGCCCCAGCATCCGGGCACCAGGGCGGGGCGCCGGGCTCCAGAAGCTTCCAGAACAATCTCAGCTCTTTGGGAGGGGCGGAGGAGGAGAGGGCCCACGAATCTTCCAGAGCCTGCCCCCTCCTTTTCCCTCCCCCCCGACCCGAGACTGCAAGAAAGATCTAGAAGGGGGAAAGAAGCACCATGAGCCAGAGCCGGCCGTAAACGTTTCTCGCCTTAGAACCTCACAGAAAAAAACCGGAAACACTTGAAAAACGCTTCCCACAGGGCAGATGGCAAAGCCAAGCCAACACCAGGCTGTGCTGACTCACGTCCAGCGCGCACACCCACCACCCTTGGGGACTCTCCGGCGCCCCGTAGCCGCGTCCGGAAGTGGAGGGGCAAACATGGCAGCGTCCCGGGCCGGCGCGGACACCACGTGCAGCTGCCCACTACCCCAAACCCACTCCGCGGCCCACCTCCCCCACGGTTAGCCGCCGCCCGGGGAAAGCCCCGCCACCCAGACACCGATGAAAAAACAAGCCTAACTCGCAAAACCCCTCCCGCCCACCCCCAAACGAAATTTGGAGTCGTCCTATCCCAGTGGCCGCTCCAACACAACAAAATCTAGGCTTTGGGAAGGAAACGAGGAACGAAAGCAACTCAAAAGAGCATTCCAGACAGAAAAATCTGAAGGGAGCTCCGACCTTACCTTAAAGGAGAAGAGCTGCAAGCACTACAGACGACGGTGGGTAGGGACTGCGTCCGGCTACGTCTCCGCACCAAGGCTTCGCGGGGGTGACTCAAGAGAGCGGCTGTGCGCCCCCCAGGCGTTCTATATACGGCGAAGCACAGACTGGCTGCCCGCCCCCGAATCCCTCCGCCTTAAAGGAAGATGTCTGTCAGCCCTGCACCTGCCGCTGCCCGCCCACCTTGACGTCATGGTCCAAAATAGGGGAGGGGGCGGGGAAGGGCGGGAGCCGCAGGTCTCAGTCTCCGCCTTAAGAGCACCCGCAAGTATTCCTTTTCGTGGTCTCGTCTCCGCACTTCAAGGCATGAGCCCTTTCCAAGAACTAAAGATTGAGAATACTCATGTGACAGAAACGGGGGATCTAGGGGCGCGGATGCCACTGACCTTCCTATAAACCTGTGAGGCAAGCGCCTGCAGACCCGAGAGTCGTGCCTTGGAGGAACATCTAAAAAGATGGAGGGCGGGGATAGAAGCGGCCAACCACTCCGACCTCGGCTCCCAGGTTCGACTTTTTTGCTACAATCTGCCCTACACACTCCTATAACCCAATAAGGGGAAGGGGTATTTTTTAGGGACCGTGCGGAATTCGAGGTCTAACTTCAGGCAGCCCCCGGATCTCGGCCCTCCCTGGGCCAGGGGGAAGAGCTAGGGCTTTGCAGCGGGGCGTGGCTCCGGCTGGGGGGGAAGGGCGCCGGCCTGGGCTGGCAGGGGGACTCTTTGCCTGCGCCCAGCGGAAGGAGCGACGACGGCGGTACTGCGATTACTTCCAGCAGTTTCCAGACCCGCCTTGGCGGCCCCGCCCCTGCTCCGCCCCTTTCCTCCAGGCCCCGCCCCGCCTCCTGCGGCCTGAGCCGTCTCTGCAGCTGCTGTGTTACCCATCCGTCTCTGCCGGGGTCCCCGGGGAGGAGGAGGTGAGCTGTCCCAGTCCTATTTACCCTAGGAAGCCGCGGGCGGGACCCTGTTTTCCACCTGCCAGGGCCAGCTAGCTCGGAACTCCCTCGGGAGTGGGATGGAGCATAAAGGGAATGATTGACTGACCCCCCCCCCCCACCTCTCCCCTATCAACCACACGGCACAGGGCTGTAGGGGCGGTTGTGCCGGCGCCGCCTTCAGAGAGCAGAGACTGGGGACGCGTTCGCCACCGCGGGGGAGGGGGGGGTACCCTCCCCAACTCCTGCAGTCGCCCACGTGTGGAGAACACTGAGACATGCGTCTCCCCTGCGTGAGCACATCGAGCCATTTCTCAGTCTGGTTTCATTTTTTTCGCCCTTTTCGCTCCTGCAGCTGCCACACCGGAGGAGGAGAGGGTCTCCTGGGACCCCTGCAGAGTAGCAGGGACTCTTGGAGGTCGCTTGAAGACGCTGGCCGGAGGGTAGCCTGCTGCAGGCTGCCAGAATTTGTTCCTCTTCAGCTGTGGCGCCGGAGGTCCCAAGCCCCCAAACCGTTAGCCTTCCCAAAGGGCTGTGGGACGCCATACTTCGCTTGGCTCTGCCCCTTTTGCGTGCTAACCCTAACCCTAACCCTTGTCTAGCCAAGGCCTCATTTAGGACTCGTGTCGGACCCACAGCTCCTCGGGAAGAGAATGGCCACTTCCTGCTCTGTGACCTTGGAGATGTCCATCAGCTGCCTTCCTGGCCCACAGTGTCCTCCACTGGAATGCTGGGGAGGGGTTCCCCCACCGCCACCCCTAATCCTTCCTTCAACAGCCCTGGTGCCCGGTCTTCCTTCCTTTGTATTTTCTTTATTCATATGTTAAATTCTAGAAAACAAAGGACCCTCCCTTTCTTTATTTTTGCCCCACACTCCAGACCTCATCATCCGGCTGCCACCACCCCAATTTTATTTCTCCTTACTCTTCTATTCCCCTTTCTTACGGTGTGTGAAAAACCTGTGACTGGAAGTTAATGGGCTTGGGAAGGGTGCTGTTTACCAGGAATCTCCCAGGATTCTCTGTTCCTGATCAAAATCTCAAAGGAAGTGTGTCATGACACCTCAACATACCCTCTCTCCCTCTGGGCAGAAGGGGTCTAGCAAATTAAAAATCTCCCTAGTTCACAAAGACCACTGACACCATTTCATGGTCCTGTTAAGTGGTGAAAGTGAGAGTCCACAATCTAGGAACCAGGAAAGCAAAGCTTCAGTGAGATCAGTCAGCTCAAAGCCTTTGGTGCACCAACCCTTGCTCCTCGCTCCAGAAATGGAGTGGAGATGCTGTCTCTCCCCTCCCAGGACCCAAGTCCAGGGCAGAGCAGAAATCACTCCTTTATTTATTTATTAGATTTTTAAAATTTATTCATTCGAGACAGAGAGAGAGAGAGAACATGAGCGGGGGAGAAGCAGAGGGAGGGGGAGAAGCAGGCCCCCCACCGAGCAGGGAGCCTAATGTGGGACTTGCCATGTCCCAGGCCCCCGGGATCATGACCTGAGCTGAAGGCAGACACTTAACTGACTGAGCCACCCAGGCATCCCAGACATCACTCCTGTTGATCAGTATTAGGACCAGAGACTTTTCAGGGGTCTTCTAATGGGAAGATCTCAAATCTTGCACTAGCACAGAAATTCTGCCTTCTCTTCTGGAAGCCTTCTCCCACTCACTGACACTCACTTAAGCCCCCACAGTGAGTGCTTGGGGATGCAAAAATGCATAAATAAGATGGAGGTTTTAGCCCACAAGGGGCTGCTGCAGGACAAGTGTGAATCATAGCACATGGGAGAACTATCAGAGACTCCCAGCTCAGCCTGAGCAACGGGGCAGGCTTAGGGCTAAGGCTAGCCAGCCCATGGCACAGATCTATTCCCAGAAGAGGGGAAAACATGGAGAGGCACAGCCCTGACAGAAGGCCCATAGCCTAGGGGCCCCTGAGGGAGGCAGAAGCGCTGAAAGTGACCCTGCAGGCAGGGTTCGGGTCACAGAGGGCCACAAATGCCATGCTAAGACGTCCTGACCTTAACTCAAGAGTGAGGGAAGCCACTGAAGGCTATTAAAAACAGCTTAAACCCCCTAGATCTCCAGAAAACTATTTCCGGCAGCACTTGCAATGCTCACTGTTCCCAAGATACCCTTTGTTCCTGACCAGGCCTCAAAGACCCAGCCCGGGGCGCCTGGGTGGCTCAGTCGTTAAGCGTCTGCCTTCGGCTCAGGTCATGATCACAGGGTCCTGGGATCGAGTCCCACATTGGGCTCCCTGCTCGGCGGGAGGCCTGCTTCTCCCTCTCCCCCTGCTTGTGTTCCCTCTCTTGCTGTCTCTCTCTCTGTCAAATAAATAAATAAATAAATAAATAAATAAATAAATAAATAAAAAGACCCAGCCCAACCTTCTGTTGTTGGAGGGTAGCCAGATGAAGCAAGAACTGACCAACTGTGGCCTGCAGCTGGTGGGCCTGTTGCTTGTTTTTACATGGCTTACGGGGAAGAATGTTTTTTACATTTTTTAAATTGTTGAAAAAAGTCAAGGGAAAGATAATATTTTGCCATCTGGAAAGTACATGAAATTTGAATTTGTGCTCGTAGAGCTTTACTGGAACATAGCCCCTCTCATTTGTTTACATGTTGTTTTTGGCTAATTTTATGCTGCAATGGCAGAGTTGATAGTACAGCAGAGACCAGGTAGCTTGCAGAATCTAAAATATGTAGTCTCTTACCTTTTACAGAGAAGACTTACACACCCCTGATCTAGCTAAAGCAGAGTGAGGTCTTGGAGCAGAGACTCAGCTGCTGCTCCGACTGGGAATTCTCCTAATGAGGGTGCACCACTGGGCTTTCAAGGGGCTCAGGGAAGCTGCCAAGATAAGAGGCAATGGATGAATAAGGCAACCCACAGCAGCAGGACCTCAGGGATTGTATAAGCACGGGGAGTAGCTCTGGATCCTTAACTCCTGGAACAGGCACCCTTCCCAAGCTCAGCGGCTGCCAGAATGGGTCCTGTCTGTTCCGGTTCTACCCGGTTCCATGAGGCTTATTATCGCTGAACTCCATGGGGGATACCCTGCAATGACATCCTCACAGGCCAATGGACTTAATGTTCAGAGATGTTGGACAGTTGAGCCAGTCTGCCTGGCCAGCCCGGGCTCCCGTTCTGCCTGAGTTTCCACATGCGGTTGGGACATGAGAAGTTTCTTTCACAACTTTCACTCCCTTCATTGTTAGTACTGTGTTTCTTGTTTTTGATGCAATGGCAATGGCAATTTTCCTTCATTTTAGGTTTCCCGAAGAGTTTGGAAAGCAATCGACTTTTGTTTATTGGTCCCACAGCTTGGTAAACTACCTTATTAATTCTTAATTTGTTTTTTATTTTTTTTAAGTACAACCCTACCTATCATCTGAGAACAATGACAGTCTGGTTTCTCACTTTCTAATCCTTGTATCTCTTATTTTTTGGTACACTGAACCAGCTAGGACCTGCAAGACAATGACGAGTGGAAACAGTGATTGTGGGGAATCCCTATCTCATTTCTGATCAGAAAAGGAATGCTTTTAATATTTCATCATTGAGCACAATATTTCCTCTTTCTATCCCTAACTTGTTATAAATTTTAATTTGAACGAGTATCAAAATAACTTTTCTGCATCTATGGCGAGACTATTGTTTTTAAAAATTCCTTTTATTTATATGCTTAATTAACAGACTTAATAATATTAAGCAGAATCCATCAATTAATTAATTAATTTGTAAAAGATTTTATTTATTTATTTGAGAGAGAGAGGGGTGCCTGGGTGGATCAGTCATTAAGCGTCTGCCTTTGGCTCCCATCATTGTCCCAGGGTCCTGGGATCGAGCCCCACATGGAGCTCTCTGCTCAGCGGGAGGCCTGCTTCTCCCTCCCCCACTCCCCCTGCTTGCGTTCCCTCTCTCGCTGTGTCTGTCAAATAAATAAATAATAAATTATTTTTTTAAAGATTTTATTTTTAAGTAATCTCTACACTGATATGGGGCTTGAACTCACAACCCCAAGATCAAAAGCTGCATGCTCCACCACTGAGCCAGCCAGGTGCCCCTCTTTTTTTTTTTTTTTTTAATGATATAGGACTATTCAGGTTTTCTACCTCTCCTTGTCAATTTTGTTTAATAATTTTTCTGGGCGTTTCTTGAAAGCTTTATTATGGCATAGTCTTCTCTTTGACTCTTTTCAATCTCTATTCCATCTAAAGTATATCTTCTTGGGACGCCTGGGTGGCTCAGTCGGTTAAGCGTCTGCCTTCAGCTCAGGTCATGATCCCAGGGTCCTGGGATCGAGTCCCGCATCGGGCTCCCTGCTCCGCGGGGAGCCTGCTTCTCCCTCTGCCTCTGCCTCTCTCTCTCTCTCTCTCATGAATAAATAAATAAAATCTTTAAAAAAAAAAATAAAGTATATCTTCTTTTTCATCCCTAAAATTGTTTTTCATGTCTTATTCCTTTTTTCATGAAAAGTTTCACTAGAGACTTGTCTATTTTATTTATATCGATATTCATGTATTTAAATTTCTGCTAAAATTTTTATTATTTCCATTTTGGGTCAATTCTATTGTTCTTTTTTTTTTTAAGATTTTATTTCTTTGACAGCGGCGAGAGAGGGAACACAAGCAGGGGGCATGGGAGAGGGAGAAGCAGGCTTCCCATTGAGCAGGGAGCCCGAAGCGGGGCTGGATCCCAGGACCCTGAGATCATGACCTGAGCCGAAGGCAGACGCTCAATGACTGAGCCACCCAGGCGCCCCAGTTCTGCTGTTCTTTTTCTATTTTCTTAGCTTTAAAACCTAGCACATTAAATTTCAGCCTTTCCCCTTTTCTGACATCATGATTTAAGGCTACAAATTTCTCTTCAAGTACTATTTTAGCTATATCCCCATGTTTTAATATGTAATATTTTTTGGAAAGATTTTATTTATTTGAAAAAGAGCACAAGCAGGGGGAGGAGCAGGCAGAGGAAGAGGGAGAAGCAGGCAGGCTCCCCACTGAGCAGGGAGCCCAACGTGATGTGGGACTCTATCCCAGGGTCCCAGGATCACAACCTCAGTCAAAGGCAGACGCTTAGCCAACTGAGCCATCCCGGTGCCCCTATAGTATTTTTATTATAATTTAGTTTTAAGCGTTTTCTGATTCTTCTTATGGCATCTTCGTTGATCAGTTTAAAAGTGTTCAAAAGGGGCACCTGGGTGGCTCAGTTGTTTTAAGTGTCTGCCTTTGGCTCAGGTCATGATCCCGGAGTCTAGGGATTGAGCACTGTATCAGGCTCCCTGCTCAGCGGGAAGCCTGCTTCTCCCTCTCCCACTCCCCCTGCTGTGTTCCCTCTCTCGCTATGTCTCTGTCTGTCAAATAAATAAAATCTTTAAAAAAAAAAGTGTTCAACATTTCCAATTATTTTTATATTATCTCTTAATTATGTTATAGACATACAATGCAGTGTGTATAATACTGGCTCTTTTGTATTTGAGACTTCTTTTGTAATCTAGGACGTGGTTAATATGTGTAAAGGTTCCATGCATGCTTGAGAAAAATATGTATTATTTAGTTATTGGATAAAAGTCTAAATATATTAAATCTATTAAGTCAAGCCAGTTAATTGTGTTGCTCAAAACAAAAAAACACTTGGAGACTCCACAGGACATAGCTTGGAGAAGGCAGAAGCTGAAAGTGGGGAGATCACACAGGGGTAGGGAAGAGGCTCAGTGTTCACCTTTTCTGTGGTAGAATGATTGAATATGAGGGCTGAAGGCTGGGGAGGAGGACCGCTCTGCATTGGAGGGGGTCAAGAATCCGTTTTAGGCATGTTATGGGGCACCAAAGAATGTCCAGGAGACAGAGACTGATGGCTGAAGTCATGGGCAAGAACACCATTTCTCAGGGGAGGGTAGTGAAAAGACCAGAGTTATGATCTAAGCCATTTGAACTTGTAAATAGGGTATCTTTGGTACCTACTCTATTAATAGACATATGAGTGCGTCTTGACTCTCTTGAGGCCATAGTATCAGTGACCTAAGGGGGTGTGTGTGTGACTGAGTCCTGTCTGTCATTGCCAACTGAGCTCTAAATTGTCTGTTGTCCTCGGGCCATGATGCCCACCAGGTGTCCCTTTTTGTCTTGGGTGTTGTTCAGTGTTCCCGGGTCCCTTTGACCAAGGTAAAACTTAACTCCGAATCAGTTCAGCCCAGAGTAAATGACAGGCAGGGGAAGGTGCAGGAGGGGTGGGTTCTACCACAAACAACCCTGACCTACTTAACTACTCTGCCTGCCACCTGACCCGCCCCAGGCACAAGTCACTGCCCAAAGTACAGTTCTCACCTGACTGGATTTCTGGGCCCAGTGCCTGCCCGGCCCACCTGCGCCCAGATAAGGGGCTGGTAAGGCT